TCTGTTTAAACATCTTGTCTTTATAAAATCTTTTTTTCCAGGTTCGTTCTTTTTTTTTTTTTGAGACAGAGTCCCGCTCTGTCACCCAGGCTGGAGTGCAATGATGCGATCTCGGCTCACTGCAACCTATGCTTCCCAGGTTCAAGCAATTCTGCTTCAGCCTCCCGAGTAGCTGGGATTACAGATGCGTGCCACCAAGCCTGGCTAATTATATGTAAATATTCATACATATATTTAAGTTGAAACTGGAAATTTGGCAAATTTGAGGAGAAACCCACAGTGGGAAAGAAAGAGGTACAGAACTGTGAATAGTTCTAGTTTGGGCATTTTGGCAAAACATCTAGTAGATAAATGTAGCTGTTACCCATTCTTCTCTTCTTCCTTAGCTATAAGATATCTCAGTTTAGATGGACACATGGTCACCCAAAGTACAGTTTCTCCACTTTTTTTTTTTTTTTTTTTTTTTGAGAGGGAGTCTTACTCTCTTGCCAGGCTGGAGAGCAGTGGCATAATCTCAGCTCACTGCAACCTCTGCCTCCCAGGTTCAAGCGATTATCCTGCTTCAGCCTCCTGAGTAGCTGGGACTACAGGTGTGTACCACCATGCCCAGCTAATTTTTGTATTTTTAGTAGAGATGGGGATTCACCACGTTGGCCAGGATGGTCTCGATCTCTTGACCTTGTGATCCGCCCACCTCAGCCTCCCAAAGTGTTGGGATTACAGGCGTGAGCCACTGCGCCTGGCCAAATTTCTCCACCTTTCTTATAGCTAGATGCGGCCATGTGATTGACATCTGGCTAACTGGATATAAGTAGAAATGGTGTATGCCATGTTGGAAAGTTTTGGTTTTTGTTTTTCTGTAATTCTTTTTCCATTTCTTTTTCTGGCTGCCTGGAATACAGATACAATGGCCAAGCCATCCTGGACCTTGAGAATGTAAGCCATATGTAAGAAAGAAAAAAATAATCTTGCTCAAGAAGATTTCACTATATTTTTCTTTTTTAGCCAAAGCTAATCATAACTGATTTAAAGATTTTAGATACTTTACCTGTTGAAAGCTTCCCACTCTCATCAACCTAGATTTTAGAAACAAAGATTATGGAGTAAAAAGCACAGCCTATATAGTCAGAAAAGATAAATTACAGTCTTGGCTCCTTCAGGTTTTAGTCATATAATATTGGCAAACTTCTGAGACTCATGATTATTCATTATTATCTCTATACTAAATATATTAAATGTTATATATTATCTTGATATATTTAATATTAACATGATATATTACATATATTATGTTTAATGATAATATAATTTAATATATTTAATATTGATATACTATATATAATATAGAGATGATGATAATAATGTTATCTTTTTGGAGTTGCAGGAAGGGTTGTGATGTCAGGTGAGATAATATGAGAACAGGCTGGGTAAACTATAAAGGATTACATGATTTTTTTTCCTTGCTTCTATTTCCAGCAAGAAGAAAATGAATCATGGGCTGGTTAGGTAGAGGAGTAAAGAGGGCCATTCAGGGTTAGGCAGTGAAACAGCTCTATATACTCTGTTGTTCATGCCAGTGACATTTAGAAGAAAGAACTTGATACAAATATCATTTAAACAGGAACCAACTGTATGTTCTTCAAAGGATGCACTTAGCATAGTGCCTATCATATGATAAGTATTAAATAAACGCTATCTCTACTATTACAACTACCCCTATAATTATAGTAATGGAGTCTAAACCAGTGAAAGTGGCATCTCCAGCATGTGCTTTTCCCATAGACAGACCTCTGTGAGAACCCAGATTAAAATCCTCCTGTTTAAAGGTTTAATGCCAAAGGACTAAGAGACCTTGCTATACTCATGGCCTTACCAATGGAACTAAAATTCTTGGAGTTTGTTGGTTGAAACAGCAGATGAGCACTGTTTTAGTGCTGCTGAGATTGGTAATTGATAAATAACAAAAATGTATTTATTACAGTTCTGGAGGCTGGGAAGTCCAAGATCAAGTCACCAGCAGGTGCACGTCTGGTGAATGTTTGGTCTCTGCTTCCAAGATGACTTCTTGAACACTGTGATCTCACATGGAGAAAGGACAAAAAGAGAGGCACTCCCTCTGTCAGGACCTATTATAAGAGCACCTAACCCCATTCACAAGGAGGACCCCTCATGGCAAAATCACCATTTAAAGGCCCTACCTTTTGATACTATCACATTAGCAGCAGCTGAATTTTGGAGGGGACACATTTGAACCATAATAAGCACTTTCAAAAGCTATTATGCTTTGGAACTTTTTTTCCCTATTGAATCTACAGGTGAACCAACTTTAGTAAAGCTTCTCTATAGCCTTGTATTAGTCTGTTCTCATGCTGCTAATAAAGACATACTTGAGCCTGGGTAATTTACAAAGGAAAGAAATTTAATGGACTCACAGTTCTGCATGGCTGGGAGGCCTCACAATCATGGTGGAAGGTGAATGAGGAGCAAAGTCATGTCACACAATGGCAGCAGGCAAGAGACAGCATGTGCAAGGGAACTCTTTACAAAACCACAGATCTCATGAGACTCATTCACTATCATGAGAATAGCATGGGAAAGACCTGCTCCCCATGATTCAATTACCTCCCTCTGGGTCCTTCCCATGACAGGTGGAAATTATGGGAGCTACAATTCAAGGAGAGATTTGGGTAGGGACACAGCCAAACCCTATCAGGCCTGAAAGTCTTGCTATCACTTTAAAACGAGATTAGATTTTGGGGCTTGTCCTCTCTCACAGTTCATTTGTGAGTTTATGATGTAATCGTCAGAAGACAAGCCTATGTGTCCCATTTGAAAGTTCTTAGTGACCGTCTTACTATTGGTTCACACTTAAAGCGTCTTTAATACATAGAGCTATGTTACAGGGCAGGGCTTCTCAAGCATTAATGTGCATGTGAGTCACCTGGGAGTCTTGTTAGGTGGCAGATGCAGCAGCTCTGGTGCCAGGCTGAGATTCTGCATTTCTCACAAGCTCCCAGGTGATGCTGATGACACAGATCCATGGACAATACTTGGAGATGCAAAGTTAAAAGTAATATAGCTAAGTAAGTGACAAAGGTTGGATTTAAACGCAGGTTTGTCTAATTCCAAAGGCTATGTCTTTTCCACAATACGAGATTCAGAAATAGAAAGCTGAGTAATAAATGAGAAATTGTGTTTAAGCCTAATTATTAGTTATTTGGGATTACTATTATCTGTAATGTTAAAATTTAGAATCCTTTTTTCAGAGAATAAAGAGAGGTACATTAAGCTGGAGAAAAATGTTTTTGAAGAAAGGACAGTGATAATTTAATAGGATAAAAATGAAGAATATAAACGGTAGAAAGATTACAAAAGACAGGTGATAAGTATTTACATTTTTTTTTCTGAGATAGGATTTCACTGTGACCAAGGTTTGAGTGCAGTGACCTGATCTTGGCTCAACTCAACCTCCACCTCCTCAAGTGACCCTCCCACCTCAGCCTCCTAAGTAGCTGGGACCACAGGCATGTGCCACTATGCCTCGCTAATTTTTTGTAATTTTGGTAAAGGCAAGATTTCACCATGTTTTCCAGTTTGGTCTCAAACTCCTGAGCTCAGAAGATCCACCTCGGCCTCCCAAAGTGCCGGGATTACAGGCATGGGCCACTGCACCCAGCACTATTTACATTCTTAAAAAGCCACAACTTGCCACATTTCCAAAATGGTAACCACAAACGTCACATACCATATTCACCAAGGGTCTCTGACCACCCTAGCACCTGCCAGGTGACAATAACAACGGACAATGTGACTAGGGAAGAGAGCATCATGGCACAAAGAGATGAGGCCCATCTTCCATTTTTCACCAGCATTCTGGAAAATGGCCAGGTCTACTGGCAATAGAGCAAGCCCAGAGCCATGCCAGCCTTGCAGGGCTGGCTGTGAGCACAAACCTGTGAGGTCTCCTTCACAGAACAGCTCATTAAATAGAAAATGAAGGATTTTGTCTGTACAATCGTGATGTTTCTGGATCAGACAAGTTTAAATTTGTACAGCCAGAGAGGTTTCCTCTGGATTTCGTATTAAAGGCAATTTCAAAGCCCTACAGAAAGTGTACACCCTGTGTGTTTTTCGTTAGACCATAAAAAACACCATACTAGCACAGGCCAGGGAGTATCCAGCAGTATTTTGTATCTGACATTGGCACCATCTGAGGTTTTTGAAGAACATAATGTCCTTTTTGTCATTAACTGCAAAAGTTTAGGAAACCTCACAAACACACCTCCAGCCTCCTCTGATGTCCTGTTTTCCATCATTTCTAAACATGCCTAGAGCCTTCCTGATTCTGTATGTTTATTACCTACTGTTTAGACTTGAATGTTCTTTTACTAGTCCTAACCTATTTTCAAAGGACTTTGTATTTATTCTGTCTTAACTCATTTTGTTCATGTATTATTTTCTGTATTAGAATCTAAGATCCTATACTATTTTATACTTATTTTTGAGGTAGTATCTTTCTCACAAGACTGTGAATTCTAGAAAGCCTAGAACTTAACTTAGACTTTGTATCACTGGTACCTAGCACAGCATCAAGCAAACAGTAGGCCTTCAAAAAAATGTTGGATGAAAACAAGAATAAGCTCTAGTGCAGAGATCTGATTATCACACAGTGTCATTTATTAGAAGAATCTCAAGTTTTTAAAGGAATGGAATTTCCTTTAAACTATCTTTTCTTGGTTTATTTAATTCTGTTATGTAAAGATTTAGGAAATAGCCAAAAGAAGACCTACTCATTATCCCAATACTTTCCAGTTCTTTTTAATTCTAATCATAGATATTTACTGAACATCTATAAGCCATAACCAGGAATACTGCAGGGTACAGTTCTTAAGTTCACATACCCATATTCTCTTTGAGGATATTCAACCATACAACAATAGTGAGCATGTCTTGTGTGAATTCTGAAAGAAAAGCTAGTATATAACATATATATCACATACCTGATCAAATTGGGGGTCTTCTCCACGTTGCAGAGATTTTGTCAATGGCTTTTCCTAGCAAGAAAAAGAATATATGCAAGAATAGTTATTAGAGTCTCTTAAATAGTATAAAAGAAATGTCATTATTATTCCATTTTTTTCTCACTCATTTCTCTCATTATGGAATGAGGAGCTGCCAATGTTTAAACGAGTGAGGAATTCTCCCTTAGGTATTTTAACCATAGTAGATATGTTTGATCATTACTGCCATGACTCTTGCTATTCACCTAAACACATACCTCATTGACCAAAACATTAAGAATCTGATACTTAGGGAAACACAAATGAAAACCACAATGAGATATCACCTCATACCTGTCATAAAGACTTTTATCAAAAAGACAACAGATAATAAGTGTTGGTGAACATGTAGAGAAAAAAGAACTCTTGTATACTGTAAATTAGTAGAGCCACTGTGGAAAAAAGTATGGAGGTTTTTCAAAAAATTAAAGATAGAACTACCATATGATCCAGTAAGTCACCTTCTGAGTATGTATTCAAAGAAAATGAAACCCGTATCTTGAAGAGACATCTGCATGCTTGAAGAGATATTGAGCATTATTCACAATAGCCAAAATACAGTCAGTCTGAGAGTCCGTCAGTGGATGAATGGATAAAGAAATGTGCTATACATATACAATGGAAGATTATTTAGCCTTAAAAAAGGAAATCTGGTTATTTCTGACAACATGGACAAACCTGGAGGATATCATGCCGGGTGTTATAAGCCAGGCACAGAAAGACAAATACTATACAATCTCACATAACCCTGAAATTTAAAAAGAGTCAAATTCACAGAAGCAGAGACTAGAATGGTAGTTACTACGGGCTGGTGAGAGACGGATGAGAGGAAATGGAAGATGTTGATCAAAGACTACAGTTTCATTTAGATAGGAAGAGTAAGTTCTGGAAAGCTACCGTATAGCATGGTGACCACAGTTAATAATGTATTGTGCTATGGCCTGAATATATCCCCCCAAAATTCATATGCTGAAACCTAACCTTCAAGGTGATGGTGTTAAGAGGTGGGGCTGGCCAGGCGCTGTGGCTCACATCTGTAATTCCAGCACTTTGGGAGGCCGAGGTGGGAGGATCATGAGGTCAAGAGATCGAGACATCCTGGCCAACATGATGAAACCCTTTCTCTACTAAAAATACAAAAATTAGCTGGGCGTGGTGGCACAAGCCTGTAATCCAAGCTCCTTGGGAGGCTGAGGCAGGAGAATCACTTGAACCTGGGAGGAGAACATTGCAGTGAGCTGAGATCATGCCACTGCACTTCAGCCTGGTGACAGAGCGAGACTCCATCTCAAAAAAAATAATAATAATAAAATAAAATAAAATAAAATGTTGAAAGTAATACACCATTCCAAGTCCCTAACTTTTGAAGGAAAGAAACGTTTATTTATTAGACTGGTATTGAGGGACAACATATCAATCAGACATTTACTAGGAGTAACTGGTGAATTTGGGGCATGTGATTTGTCTTGCACCACATGTAGCTCTCTTAAAAAATAATATTTGTAGGAACAAGAGTCTACTACAGAAACAATTCTCCCTAATCATGACATCTTTGTTCACGTTAGGAAGATTTAACTGATCTTCAGGCAGGGCATTTCATGTTACTCATCCTTATTTGTGTTTGTGTGTGTGTGTGTGTGTGTGTGTGTGTGTGTGTGTATTTCTTTGCAATGGAAGTTCCCTCTGATCCAAAATTTGGTTAGGATTAGAAACAATGTAAAAATTATATATCAAAAAATATTACCTTTTCCTCTGGCCAATGCAGGTTCCCTAGCAATATTCCATTTATATTTAGCTGCTCACATAGACTCTCTCACTGTGGGTCTAACCATTTTTCCAGTCCTCTCTACTCACAAAGATGATCTATACCTAAGGCAGATGCAAACCCCGACCCCTGCCCCATACTGTCTTTGTTCTTGAAGAAATGCACATGGTGGTCTCATCCTGCAAGACTGAGATTTCACCAAGAGCCTTACAAATCAACTACTCTGTCTCCATTGCTAATTATACAGGTTCAAAATATATATTCATCTAAAATACAGATAATACTGTGTTCTTATGAGTAACATTTTCTTTTGAAAGTATACTATGTAGATATAATGAACAGATACTATATGTCTATTCATCATTCAACAGCAACTGAGGGTTCACAATGTGTCAAATGCTACATGCCGGGGTGGAATACTGAAGAACACACGATCCTGATACCCACTACTAGAGAGAAGAGTCGAGTCTGAGAGGGGAAATGTGGTTAATTTCTTCTTATGAGTCTTGTCTCTACTTATTCATTATTCAAACCTCAGGTGAACTATCACTTCCTCAGGGAGGCCCTTCTCTGAACCATCCCCTAACACCTGTGTGCTCCTCCCTGGTACATGCCTGCAAAGATTCAGTATTTGTCCTTTCATAGACCTTACTGTTGAGTAAAATCACATCACAGCCATCATCTTGTGCAATTACACACTCATGAGTGAGGTAAAAAGCACCATCCTTGCTAGGTGGCAATCCCCAGAAATGCAGTGACTGTGTTTCTCTCAACACTTAAAGTCATGGGACAGAGCACAGCTTGCCTGACATGTAGAATTCCACCCAATGTGTAGCATGGGACACACTGTGAACCCTCAGACACTGTGGAGTGATGAATACATACAGTATTTATTCATTATATCTAAATCGTATACTTTGAACAGAAAATGTTTGTTTACCCATAAGAACACAGTATGCTCTGTGTTTTATATGAATACACATTTTGAACCTGTATATTTAGCAACGGAGACAGAGTAGTTGATTTCTAAGGCTCTTGGTGAAACCTTGGTCTTGTAGGGTGAGACCACCACATGCATTTTGCTTGGTGCTGGCTAGGCATTTGCCAAGTTCATAAAAGTTCTAGGGCAGTGGTATCCAGTTACTTGAAATATGAAAATCCCTTTATTTTCTGTATATATGTCTTGTTTTAAGTTTTAAAGTTTTAAAAATACTTTTTATTGTGGTAAAATATAGATAGCAGGATACTTAACACTTTAAAGTGTACAAATCAGTGGCATTAAGTACATTCAAATGTTGTTCAAATATCATCATTACCTATTTAATGAAGACCGTTTTTAATTCCAGAAATGTTCAAAAAGTTCTCAACCAGAAAACACACACTCACACTCCAAACATACAAGATAGTAATTTTACTTTAGTATCTACTGTTTAAAACTATACATAATGACAGAGAGCTAATACTGCAGCTCCAATGATACTTTTAAATAGCTCTGGACTGGGGATGGTGGCTCAGGCCTGTAATCTTGGCACTTTGGGAGGCCGAGGCGGGTGGATCACCTGATGTTGGCAGTTTGAGACCAGCTTGGCCAACATAGTGAAACCCTGTCTCTATTAAAAGTATAAAAATTAGCTGGGTGTGGTGGCAGATGCCTATAATCCCATCTCCTTGGGAAGCTGAGGTGGGAGAATCACTTGAACCTGGGAGGTGGAGGTTGCAGTGAGCCGAGGTCACACCACTGCATTCCAGCCTGGGTAACAGAGTGAGACTTCATCTCAAAAAAAAAAAAAAAAGAAAAAAAAAAGGCTCTGTACCATAGTAGCAACAATCAATACTGCTTCTATATATACTAGAAACATGGGAATACATCCATATGGGAGACCTTAAAACCCAGCCAAGAGATAACTCAGCACACCTGTGGGTCTGTAGGCCCTTACAACAACTCAGGAGTTCACATCGTGGGAGCGTGGAAGGCAGTCCTCTTTCACTACTACCTAAAAGAGGGCCCTGTCGCAGTGGAGAAAGAAAGGTGACTGTGTCCACCCACATCCCAAAGCTCCTCATACCTCAAAGTTATTTTTGACCCACTACAAATTGAATAGGAAGATGATAAACATGATATTTTATACTTACACATTTTTGCATACATATGAAGGAAACAATATATTGCCAGGCTCACTTTCTCTAGTAGGCAAAGTTGATATAAGTTGTCGCTATACATAAAAGTGAAGTCCATTAGCTAAGAACCCGGGGTCAATGCCTCAATAAAATAGCATACTAAGTTTTCCTTAACTATTTTTATGCAACTATATTGTTTTTTTTTTTTTTTTGAGATGGAGTCTTGCTCTGTCACCCAGGCTGGAGGGCTGTGGAGTGATCTTGGCTCACTGCAACCTCTGCCTCCTGGGTTCAAGTGATTCTCCTGCCTCAGCCTCAGCCACCGGAGTAGTTGGGATTACGGGCATGTGCCACCACGCCTGGCTAATTTTTTTATTTTTAGTAGAGATGGGGTTTTGCCATGTTGACCTGGCTGGTCTGGAACCCTTGACCTCAGGTGATCTGCCCACCTTGGCCTCCCAAAGTGCTAGGATTACAAGCGTGAGCCACTGCTCCTGGCCACAAATATATTGTCTTAATCATATTCTTTTAAATGTCACTTTCCAGATGAAGCCCCTCCTCAGTTGTCCCTGGCAGAGTCACCTGTTACTTGTCACGCAGTACTTTATTTGAACCTATTCCTGTCAGCATTCCCACCATGTTGTAACTTGTCTGTCTCCTTCATACCCCAACACAGTTGGAACTTATCAAGGTGTGTTAAATGCCTGACTATATCTCTATGCATTTGGAAAGATAGCTTTGGGCACAGAGAATCAGGTTCACATTTTAACATAACCAAGATTTTCTTTGCATCAACATAGATTTTATCAGTGAAATGAGGCTTAAGAGTACACTTAGGGGAGAGAATACCACAGTGGCTAAAAAATAAAGAGAACAAAAGATGAAAGAAAGGAAGGAAGAGAGGGAAAGAATGTAAGAAAGAGGGAGGAAGGAAAGGATGAGGGAAGGGCCGGGCGCGGTGGCTCAAGCCTGTAATCCCAGCACTTTGGGAGGCCGAGGCAGGTGGATCACGAGGTCAAGAGATCGAGACCATCCTGGTCAACATGGTGAAACCCTGTC